TGAATATGGAATCAGTGGGTTGCTGAGGGTCATACTGAACAGCATGCAGGATCTCAATCACGCCCAGTATCCACTTGTATGGTGCATCAACGTTTGCGGCAGCATGGCTATCAGCACATTGACCATTACTTCAGCTTCCCTTGACAATGCAACATAAAGAGAGACTGTGACTCTGGTGTGCTGAACAACAGAGCTGGAAACAGGAGTGACACAATGTTGTCTTTTCAGACACGTCTTAGTTCTGAGTGCAGTGTTCTGATGGCTGTATACACGTCTGGAAGTTGTTAGAAGACCACACGTTACCTGCTTGCATTTGATTTTGGCATAAGAGCCCTTTACCTGTGTGATGGTTTGGGCAGCCATTGTGTATATAACAAACACATCTCCAGTTCAGAGCAGTGGTAATTTGAATGCAAATTGGTACATTTCTGACATCCTACATCCAGTGGTCGTGTCCTATCTTCGAGTCCTGCCAAATGCCGTTTTTCAACAAGGGCATTTGGCAAAACCACATGTTGCACATTGTGTTCTGACGTTCCTCAATACAATAATAATAGTATTTGACTGCTGTTCTGGCCTGCATAGTCTCCAGATCTGTCACCCATTGAAAACACCTGGTCATGGTTGCTGAGCGACTGGTCCGCCACCCCTCTCCAGATAATCTGATTAATGAAGTGTGGCATAGACTTAAAGCAGCATGGAATGACTTGCCCATTTCTGCCCCCTGTTCAATACCATGCTTAACTGGGTAAGGTTTGTTCTAGCTGCCAGGTTGGCAGCTGTTTCTACTAATTTCACACCTCTGTAAACCCTCAAACTGCTTACAAATTTAATCATTTTGTCTTCATGCCATACTGTTCACATGCAATAAATATCTTTTTTTATATTTGCTTTCCTTCATGGTATTGCAATTTTATCTTCCAGCAGTGTATGTGCATAGCATACATTTTTCTCCTAATATAACAGATCTGTTCTTTTTAAAATACATTGAGCTATCTTTTTGAGTGAAGTTAAATACCAAATTAAGGTTCATAGTCATAAAAATTTGTATTGTAACAGTGAATGTGTATATTTTACTAGATTACTGCAATTCCCATTCACAAAGTAAGCTTCATTTATAAAATCTTATTTTCCAGATTAATTGGGAATGATAGCTGCACAGACTAATGGAACAACCTTAAAAAGAAAAAGAAAACAAATATTAAAAATAACAAAATTTCAAAACATGTTTTAAAATTTCATGATCCAAACCACTGTGTTATTTTTCAAAATGCATATTTATTGTATGTTTATGGAAACAGTAAATTAAACCATCAATAATAAAGTTTATAATTTACAGAAACTTCCAACATTTAAGACAAATTGCTTTTGAAGACATTTACCCTAGCCAATGTCTTGACGAACTTAGTGCCAGATAAAGCCTCTTGTGGACCCTTAATAAAATTTAAATTTGGGTCCTGATTATGCAGGTTACTTACATTTAAATAGGAAACTTCAGATTTCTAAAATGCAAACAGTAATACAGTAATAATTATAAACAAAGAGTTTTCTGTTGTATATTCATTAGTCAGACTTTAAGAATTTTTTGTTTTGGGGTTTTTCATGCAACGCTTTCAAATTTAAACATGTTTAATCCATACTATAGAGTTAATTGTAGAACATACAAAACTAATTTTATACTGGAAAGCTCTGCAGTTTGACTTTCTACTAACAGTTATGTTTTAAATTTTATTCAAAATATGTTACCTTCTAATAATAAAGCTTACCTTAATGCCTGAAGTCCCTTTCAATCTACCAATATCTTGTTATTTCCTGTCTGTTTCGATGGTAATTTGAATTAATTCATCTCACTGTCACTTTACTTAAGATTCCAAATGAACTATTTATTTCCTGTACCATCAAAAATTTATCCTGCAAGCTGCTGCATTCTTATCATCGTGCACCATTCTAGATTAAACTCAAAGCTTCTAAGTAAATTTTTCTTCAGATATTCTGTACCTTTTTTTTTTTTTTTTTTTTTGGTAAACTTATGCTCTGTCCAGATACTTACCATACTGTTTCTTCCTTTTATGCTGTATGTTTTCATGTTGGTCCCATTGCAGACTCATTCACATCCATAAATCGAAATACTAAAATTTGTGCAATAAATTTAAAATCAGACTTTAATGGCAGATATCAAATGGAAAAAGATTTAATTCACAGCACAAGGGATAGAATAAAGAATACAGGAGGATGCCAGTAACCACAAATGGACATGGAATATTATTGCTTTCTTGATGAAAATTCTAAACTGTGTACTGAGCTTTTTAATGTCAATTAAGACCATGAAACAGATGTTGGTTGCTCCTCTGCTTGCTATAGAGCCCGAATCTCTTACTGTGTAGTTTTTAAAATCAGATAGTTTTGAATAGTTGGGAAAAGAGTTTTGAATTAATTTCATTAAAATTACAGAAGATAATAATACCAACCTTTTTATAGAGCAGACTTCTGCCAGAATGTAATCTTAAGGTTTAAATTATAAAGTTTCCAGAAAAAAGTTGGAACATTTTATGAAAATACTTTCAGTACTGAGAAAAAATAGTTTTGTAATTAAAAAAAAAAAAAAAAAAAGAAACTAACTTTTTTTTTTTTTGTATAATACCTAAAGAACAAGAAGTCTAATGTGTAAAATATTTTTTCATTCACCATGCTTTTATAAAAACAAAATATTCCATTATGTAATTAAATATATTAACAATTCCAAAAATCCTTGTAGTTGATTATTTTGTGGAGCTGCATCTACTGAAATTAATAATGAGTGCTATTTTACTCAGTATGAAATTAGTACAAACAGTGATTTAGTTCATTAAATTCATTCTGTGATATCTTCATAGAGTGTTGAAACTTCTCTCAACTTTTGTACCTTATTATTAAGGTTCTTCTTCTTATTATTATTCTGCACTAGAAGCACATGTCTGAGATTAGTATTTAAGGAATAAAGCCTGTAGCCCCTCTTTAAGCACATTGTATCTGCTAATGATGTCTTATAATGAAAATACATCATATTTATCAGATTCTATCAGCTTATTACTAGTGTTTCTATATTCTGAAAAATACTTGTTTTTGAAAATTTTATTCTATTCATCGCTGTGGAGTAATAATACAGAATCTCCAGTTTCTCCAATTATTGCATGTCTTTATTGTTTTACAGAGGTTATGGTCTTAATACTCCTATAGGTAATAAGATGATAATATCATAGCTTGATTAACTACTTAATTTTCTAAACATGTAAGTAGTTGGATTTCCTTTCAGACTTTTAGTTTATGATAGAGTTGTAGTTATGTCGTTGCTTATTTATATTTTATGATTGAAATAAACACTCATTAGCCATATGAGTACTCATGTTCATTTGAATAAATAAATACTCATTGATCGTAACCTGCAATTAAAAAATATAGTTAAAAATTAAATTAAATTTCAGATGTATTTTTCTTGAACTAAATAAAAAAAATAATCTGAAAGGTTTCAGAATTTAAATCACGTCCAAAAGGGCGTCTTTTTAACATTTTGTGTGTTACATTTATTTATTAAATATCACATTCTTCGCAGTTAAACCATAAAATTCAGTTCAACATCAATATCGCAAAATAGTTTTCAATTGAGTATATCTTTAGAATTTCCAATACAGAGACTCACGTGCTGGAGATAAAAATGTTTTTTCTGTACAACGTTGCCATTGCTCGCTTTGAAACCCTTGAGTTTGTTAATTAAAAATTGGTTAAATTTTTACAAAATAGGAAATCAATAATAAGACAAATTCCAAATTTCAAATTTGGTCTTCCACATTCCCATATTTGTGAGAGGTTTACATCATTCAAAATTCGATGGCTCTATGTACCTTTATGCTGTATCACAATGCAAGAAATATAGCACATACATTTATGCAGATTTTTCATTATTTAATTTCTTTAGATATAACACAGGGCAATAATACTTTGTGGCAACAGTTTGAAAAGTGATTCGCCATTTGTAGTGAATTGACGCAAAATTGCTAAACATAAACAATAGTCCTTCAGGGACAAAGCCCCTTTGAACAAAAAAAAAAAAAAAAAAACTTCAGAAACTTGAAACTACTTTTTACAAAATTTTTTACATTAAGTATCAGATTTGAACAGTTTTAAAAATATAGATTTCAATAGATCTTTTATAGGAAATCTTTGATTTGATTAAGAAAGAGTTTGTTTTCGTATATGTAGTCATTTTAGTCCTCTCATTCTCTTTCACATTTTGAATAAAAATTTTGTAGTTTAGAATAAAAATGTTTTTAATATTTTAAGTAGTGCTTTTTAATAACAATACAGAGTATGGGATATCCTGAAGTTCAGGGCATCACACAGGACCTATACAAAGGCTGACTGAAGAGTTTTAAGACTGTCTTTAAAATGCTTTCTTGATATTACACATGATAACCCTCTACTGGGTTTTGCGAAGATCATAGATAAATGAATCTGAACCCGCAATTTAACAGCAACTGCCTTCATAAGGAAGAGAAATACCTATAAAATTTTACTGTGGCAGGTGGGAAAAAATCTCTGAAAATATGGCAAAGATGTGATTGAATTTTGTATTAAATGTAGAAAAGACCAGTAATGAAGCACTTGAAATGTTACGGCATGTTTGAAATTCTGAAGCTCTTAGTTGTGCATCAGTATTTCAAACATACTCACAGGAATATGCAAAAGATTGGAGTACATTCTGGAGGCTATCTGTTTTAGTTAACATGTGCCAACACTGTCAACGCACAGACAGACAATGAATGATTATGATAAAAATCACCTGAAAACCACTTTGCATATAGCTACAATTAAGGAAGGGATGTACATGCATATGTGTATGCTGCTTTCTTTTTCTTGTTAATAGTTATTGTGTTTCTAAGGAAAGTTTTTAAAGATAAAAAATGACAAATTTATCTATGTATGAAATTCAGTGTATGTAAATTTTAATTTTTGACACTTTTCAGGTGGTAATTTTTGTGCAGGCTATGATTTAAAGGAAGTTGCAAAAGGAAACTTTTATGGTATTTGCAGTGAACATGGTCCTATGGTATGTAATTTTATATCTCAAATTATTTTGTTTCCATATAATGCCCATTAATACCAAATTTAATCAAAAATCTGTAAATGAAATTTCTTTTAATATAATATTTTTAGGTCGGAAATCATATATTGGATTTTTTTTTAAGTGCTATAGCAATTTATTGGTATGCATTTCTCATATAAATACAGGGTTAGCAGGAAATAGTGCTTGGCTTTAAAAGCATACTAACTGTAAATTATTAAACATATTGAAGTGATTTGAATGTTAAAATTGTCATTAGTTTTTAGGGATGTAAATTAAAAATTTTGATTTGAGACTTCTATTTTTGTGGAGAACAACTTTAGTGTATAGTTTATTTGGATATGCTTCACTTCATCTCTTCCATTAACTGAAAATAGAATTTCATATTTTTTTAAGGTTTTGATCTTTTCGTAAGACAAGAAGGCATTCTCATGCTAGACAGGAAGCTTCTCATTGTAACATATCTATATGTATCATGTGAAACATTTATGGAAAACTGAATTGAAATGAGTAAACCAGTCCCTTATCTAGCAAATCTCATTCTTATCATTCCATAATGTCTTGAGGAGAATATATCAAGAATTCTGGGCATGACGAAAAGATTTGAGATCTCCAGTAGCTATTGTAGTTATGTGAATTAGTGATTGCATTTTGATTACTGGGCATTTCCCTGAAATAAAAATCACTCTTTCTTGAGCAAATCAGATATTTGTTAATTGTAGCTATATGCAAAGTGGTTTTCAGGTGATTTTTATCATAATCATTCATTGTCTGTCTGTGCATTGACAGTGTTGGCACATGTAAACTAAAACAGATAGCCTCCAGAATGTACTCCAATCTTTTGCATATTACTATGAGTATGTTTGAAATACTGATGCACAACTAAGAGCTTCAGAATTTCAAACATGCTGTAACATTTTAAGTGCTTCATTACTGGTCTTTTCTACATTTAATACAAAATTCAATCACATCTTTGCCATATTTTCAGAGATTTTTTCCCACCTGCCACAGTCAAATTTTATAGGTATTTCTCTTCCTTATGAAGGCAGTTGCTGTTAAATTGTGGGTTCAGATTCATTTATCTATGATCTTCGCAAAACCCAGTAGAGGGTTATCATGTGTAATATCAAGAAAGCATTTTAAAGACAGTCTTAAAACTCTTCAGTCAGCCTTTGTATAGGCACTGTCGTGAATTTTGCAAAGGAAGTGCTGACTTAAAAATTAGAAAGAATAAAGAATAAATTCCAACTGATTATAATTTTTTGTTACGTGCATTCGCAAAATGAGATATAAAGCCATGAGCAGCAGCAGAAGACATCCACTTGTTGAAACAAAATGGGAATAGCTCCAGTTACTCAGATATATTTTTCTAAATCTAAAACTGATTACCATATCATGTTTTAAAATAATTTATTTTTGCTTAAAACCAGCATGTAAAAGCAGGTATTTTAGCATGTAATTTTTCTTTTTATAATTCCATTTAATCAATGTGAATGTTTCTGAAGTTGAGGAAGGTGGAATTAAAACATTCAGTGTTTACATTCTTATATACTGTTAGCATATATTAAATGAATTAGATTAGTATGTCAAAACTAATATTAACTCTGGGAAATAGTATTCTTTTAAATTAATCATATAATATATCATATATCACTGATACGTGAAATGCAATACATCATATAGCAGAACTTCTTAAAATTAAAATTCTGATTATGTTGCTTCAATTATGTGTTATACAGTCAAACCTCACTTAACAAGCACTTCCCATAATGAGTGATTTGCAAAACAAGCAAAACAAAAGTGAAAAAAATCTGCTGTGTACACCACATGACTTCCTTGTATTAAATTATACACATTTTTTCTTGCATTTCATTTAAACTGATTGGATTGAATTAAATCTACTTCGCCGACAGCGCATAAACCACAATACAATAAATGCATTCTTTAAAATTCACTCTAGTATTTGTTTACCGTAGCGACACTCTGGTGCTAGATTCACTTAACAGTATTAATAATTATATAACAGTTAACTTATATAATAATTATAAAATGGAAACTAAGTTAACTGTTATATAATCCAATATTTATATAACAGTTAATGTATATATTTCGTTCTTATTATAACTCATAATGCACAAAATCTATATCATTTAAAGAATAGAATTATCTAATCGTTGCCACATGTTCTATTCAAATACTATAATAAAGCTAGAATGATGCATAAAAGAAACTAAGCAAACAAAACAAAAAAGAAACAGTTTTTCACAGACGATTGAGTATTTCTCATTTAATTAATTCTATTTTAAAAATTACGAAGTAAATCTCAAACACTTATTGCCTCGAAAAAATTCCAGAAAGAATTAAGCATGATTTAATTGGCAATAATATGTGAATGCGTAATCTTTGTTGTTGCGAAGCTAAGTTTCTCTAGATTGGCAACAAATCCACTAGTCTCCTGTTTCAAATGTAAACATCAATGGCCATCATTAAAAAAGGCTTAGCAGCAATTAAACAACTTTAAAATTGCTGATAATTCTAAAATATTGCACACAGATTTACTAAAGGCATAAAATCCTTAACCGGAAGATAAAAAACAACATAAATTCATCATTTTTAAGCAAAAAATGTACAATTTACGCAAAATATAAGAGTAAAGAAACTGAGATCACTGAGCTGGGTAACAGAGTGGATATATATATTTATATACGTTTGGTGCGGCCGATTGCAACCAAAATATGAGGTGCACATCTACATGTTATAGCAGTCCTGTATACAAAATTTCAACGTTCTGAGGCTACTCGTTTTTGAGTTATGCGAGATACGTACATATGCACGTACATACATACGTTCATACAGATGCCACAAAAAATTCTCTTCAGAATTAATTTTAAAGCAGTTTTATAATTTTTTTGAAGGAAAAGAGAATTTTATTTTGTCCTTACATACAGATATCACGCAAAAACATCATTAAATTGCATTCGATAGCGTTCAAAATGGATATTTTCGGTGAAATATGCTGCCTGAAACTTTTCGCAATTACAATACTTCCTTTTTACTTCGTACAAGGAAGTAAAAATGACCTCCTTAATAAGCAGTGTTTTGCAGAATGAGTGGCATGGAGACATAGTGACATTACCATGCAGGATCTTGCCTGCATCTCCTCTTGTCAGTCTTTGTTTAGCACTTACTTGTTGCTTGTGAAAGTTGTATTCAGACATATCATTATGTATTTTTTAATGTAAAATTTAAGCATGCTTTCATAATTGTTCCCAAAGAAAAGGCCACAAGAAGATGGGTAAGAAAAGAAAAATCACTGTAGAAGTCAAACTCCAAGTCACTGAGAAGAGAAAGAAAGAGGTGTGAACATGGTTGACATGGTGTTAACATGCATATATAATCAGTCTGCATCAGCAGTTTCTGCTGTCCTCAAAAACAAGGATAAGATAAAGAAGATTGATGCTTCAAAGGGTGTTACAAGTAATTTTATGCAATAACCACATATTCTCAAGTATGTTGAAAGATTTTTTCTGTTATGGCTTTGTCAGGGATGGAGGATGAATTTGTGGGGAGTCTTTAAAAAATAGCTTATGCAAAGAAACAACCTTCCAGCAAGATAAGGGAAATGCTGAAAGCCTTGTAAGAAACAATCACTATTTTGAAATATTTCTCTTCTAAATATAATGTCTGTATTTTAATAGAGTTGTCTTTACTCTGTTATTTTAAAAGTTAAATGGAAAATGCGCTTAGATTATGTAGGTACTTTTATAAGATTTGAATTTTAAATTATAAAGTTGGAATTGGGATAAACAGTAACTTCCAGAAAAATAGAGAAAATATTGTATGATAATTTCAGATAAGTACAGAAATTTGCCAAATAAAAAAAAAATCATATTAACCTATAATATTTAACTGTATTAGCTAATTATCAAAGCTATATGCATAATTATTTGTCTAGCTAGTTAAGTAATCACAATTAATCTAAATTAGAAATAATTCTTTGACAATCTAAGAAATTAAAACTTTTTGAGCTTATAGTTCTAATAATATTTTCTTTTCTTGTCTCAGCTTAAGGTTTAATGAATTTTTGTTAAAGGCATTTAATAAATTTGATGCTTATAAGAATCAGTAAAAGCTGTCATAAATTCATAAAGTAAGAGTATTTATAGATGACTTCTGTTATTCATTCAGCTATACGTAAAAGAATTTTGGTGTTTTTATTCTTATGTATTTCATTCTTATGATTTAAGAGAAGAAATGTCATACTACAAGCAGATGTTCATTTGTTTAGGAGATTACTTTTTATTTCACCATGTCTACTTATATTTTTTAATGAAATGATTTTATGTAATTCCTGTTATCTCTCATAATTTTTGCCCTCTTCCTTGGATGTTTCTTTATTTATCATTCTTTATCATAATATTTTTTGGGGCTCTTTACTTATCCACACTTTTCTTTAAAGCAAATTTCGTATTATAAATTCAGCCACTCTTTAATTTATGTATTTTCTGTTCCTTTTATTTTGAAAGGGAAAAATTGAGGATTAATTAGTTGTACCGAATAAAAATACTATACCTTAATTCAAATAAGGGAAAGTGATTGAATTATACCACAATTAATACAATTTTTATTGCAAAGTTTTTTGTCTATGGATTAACTGAATTTTCTTTTAGCACTGTTTATCAGTTCATTGATAAGTAAACATAAATCTAAAAAGGTGAGAAAATTGCCAGTTTCTTGAAAATTATAATAATTGCTGAAAGATAAAATAATGTTAAATAATACTTATGCTGATAATAATTTAAAAGAAGGAAAAAATAAAAGTTCTAAATTAAAATAAGATGGTAATAAATTTTTTTATTCTTGTTTGTAAATTGCTTAAATAGTGTTAAGATTGATTTGAAATGAAACATACTAAACATGATGCATGCTGTCTTCAAAAAGTGTAAATGAGGAGGACATGATCAACACAATAGATAGTATTTGGTCCTTCTCATGAATACTGCAAGGTTAAACAGATGCATTTAATGAGCCCTCATCAGCATGAAATGCTTTTGCAGCAGTCAAACATACCCATTATCTGTTACATGCTTAAAATAGTGCATAGCTTAAAACTTTAAGACTATGCATAATTGTAAGAGCTAGAAGAACTGACTAGTGGGAACAAAGGAGAGGGCATACTCTATGTATGTATACAGTAACTGTGTTATGTGTGATAGTAAATAATTTTTACAAGGACTGATAATTTCTTTAGAATATGATGAATATGTATCTGTCATATTAAATAAAAATTATGAATGAATAAATGCTTTCATGCATTGAATTGCTACTAAAATATTATATGAATATACTTCTTAACAATGTGCAAAGTAATTTTTTGAAGAAATGACATATAAAATTTCAATATTAGTATAATGAATTGTTATTTATTCATACTGAAATGTTGAATTGCAATAAAGCTTGTCTGAAACTTAATTTTTTGAAGAAATTTTATATGTTACATTAATATTTATAGTATCTTATTTTATTGACAGAAAGGAAACTAAACTTTCCGAAAAATTAAAAGGAATTATGTATGCGAGTTACAAAATTTCATAAGTTTTATCTTCTAAACATTTCTTTACAGTTCTTCTCAATTAAAAAAAAAGTCAGTTTGTCATAAATTATTATCTGACATGCTGCAAAAATGGAAAATATACTTCTTTATTTCTTCCTCTTGTTAAAAGTATACCCTATTTAAAATTTTAATAAACATTTAAATTTTGATATTACATTTCATAATTGCCTTCATTTTTATTCTTCTAGGGTCCGACAAAGAAACTTCTAAAGAAACCAGTTGTTGCTGCTATAAATGGATATGCAGTGGCTGGAGGTTTTGAACTGGCATTGTGGTGTGATCTTCGTGTTGTTGAGGATAATGCTGTGATGGGTTTCTTTAACAGGAGGTTTGGTTAGTTTATGCTATTTTAGTTTAATGTTTAATCTTTAAAACTTCAAATATGGGAGACAACCATGAGATTTATCATTGATTTGAAATATATCAATAGAAATAAAATCCTTCTTTGATATATTTGATCATAACAGTATTTGAAACATTCAAAAACATTTCTGAATAATCTTTAAAAAAATAATATACATCTGTAATATTTATATAAAAAAGAAAAAAAAAACAAATATTTTATGTATATGTCATCATAAAATTTTAATGTTTTTTTAGCAAAATAATGCCTTTGTGGAAAAGTACATTATTTCTCTTAATTCTGTGTTAAATTAAGAAAATTAATATAAGTTAGAAACCTTTAGTAAATTAATTAAAAATCTGACCAAAGTATCCATAAGAGAAATAGTTTAACATATATATACATAATAAAGTATCCATAAGAGAAATGTAATTAAGTTTAATATTTAAATTTTTGTCGTGAATGCTATATGTTGATACAGACCAATAAAAATTTATTCATTTATTTGTATACCCACACATGAAAGAAAAGTGAGAATTTTTTTTTTTTTTTTTTTTTTTTTTTTTTTTTTTTTTTTTCCATCAAACATAAAGTATTTGAAAATTTCAGAGTTTAGCTCTGAAACTGTGAAAGCATTAGCTCTAAAACTTCGAAAAACTAATGGCTTAGCAACAAAGGATGCTATTTTATGCTGTATATCAGTTTCTTTTTGAAATGTGTTTCATTGTGTTTATTATTGATTAAAAACTAACTATGGAAGTTCTGATGAAAATATCTGTTTTTGATGTTATTAATGCTTGCAATATTTAGTGCTTTAGTTTGCTCACTTTTATAAGCTTCATGTTGTAAATATGTGATGCATGGAGAGATTGTATGTGCTAGAAAAAAAGTTTCAGTATAAAATAAAATGAAAATTTTAATGCTATTTTAAAACTTAATCACTTAGTTTTTTTTTCAAACATTGTAATTATCTATATATATATATATAATTTAAAGTAAAGTAGAAAGAACAAATGATAAAAGGCCTATGTGATAAAAAATTTTGCGCATTGTGCTGCAAAATTAAGGAAATTAGAAGATAAATTTTAGTATGCACGCTAAAAAGTTGCTAAAAACTGTAACTCCGCAAAAACTTCAACATAAGCAAATTTAGTAGAAATGAATTGTGTTAAAAGAGAAATATACAACATTTGAATATTTACAAGTAAAAATTAACAAAAGTAGTAAGCTATATGTTAAACTAATTAAGTATATTTAAAACATAGTAAAACAACTAATCAATTAATCGAAGTAAAAATAAAAATAAAATTAAAATTAAAAAGCGGTAAATGGATGATTAGCCCAATTCGAAGTTCTTTTTGGCACGTGAGGGGAAATTTTTTCAATGAAATTCGAACTAAGTTAATTCTATCGTGTATTTCGCCGAAACAGACAATTGAAACTGTACACGAAACATTTTTCAATGAATTAAATAAACTATGTCAAAAACTTTAGTCTCAATTATATATATATACACACACACACACATATATATATAGTAAAACAGGAAAAGAAAAAAATACTTTTTCATAGTTCATAATTTCTAATGAAAAGTTGTGTTGGTTTGCTTTGAAGATTCTATAAATATGCACATTAAATCAAAAGTAAAAAATATAGCAAAGAAAAAAATGAGATTAAAGAAAAGAAATGAACATTTAAATGTGAAATCTTTTTTTGGGGGGGAGAGGGTAGCAGGGAGGGGAGAATATAATGTTACTTATACTTAATAATATTAAGAAATCAAGTTTTGGAATATTTTAATGCACAGCTGCTTGTGCAGCAACCCATTTTATCTCTAAATTATTGCTAAGATTTTACGAAGAGATATAAAAAGAAATTAAGTACATCATTTGAAGTAAATGTAGGAAGTACAGTATCCCCCAAGTAGCGTAAGACATGCATATTGTAAATTCCTTTACATTTTAAATTTTACATGAGCTGCATTTGTAAATTGCATAAGTGTAAACTTAGTAAGAAAGTACAATAGTGTAATATTATGTATGTAGGATGTAGTTGTATATCCGAACTGGTGCAACTGTCTTAGAAGACGACAGGAGTTATATAACATATGGAGTTATAGAGTTACGTCTGTTATGGAACATAACAGATGTAATTAACATGAAGATGACACATAAAAAGAAAGAAGAGGAGAAAAATCAGTCCATAGCATCATAAAAAATATAACAACATTATAATTCAGTGTTCTTTCAATTTTCAAACTTCATTGTTGCACTCGTCTCACATCTCTCTGAGATGTTGTCATGTGATGTTGCTGGTAAGCGCATTGCCATTCTTACTTATAAGACAAAACAAGCAAAAGAGGGGTAAAAAATCAATGTCTTGGTTGTGAATGTTCAGTTTGTGCACCACCATTTCATCTTATCAGCAGTAGGTGATGTTATTGTGGGGCTTTCACGCCATCCTATTTTTCGTACTTTGTAATGATCAGATGAATGAACTTTCATTATCTCATAAGGACCGAAGAATTTGGGACGAAGTTTCAGTCCAGGTCAGAACTGGATGCATTGTATTGCCACTGGTCTCCGAGCTTGTATTTACTGGCAGGTTTGCAATGTTTTTTTATGCTGTCTTATATTTTCTTTTTTTACACAGAATATGTTCCATTTAGCTTCAATAACACATTCGTTTAGCTTCACTAGCTATTTCAGCATTCTTTGGTGTCTAAAAAGCTTCAAAGCTTCAGCTACATCTTTTCCATGTATGTAACTTACTGTAGCTTTCGATATGTAGGTGATAAATTCAGAATTATCTGATATGCTTTTGGAAAAAATTCAGCAATTTGAGAAATTGTAGTATCAACTGGGATGCCAGAGACAAATAATTTTCTTTCTCTTTTCTTCCTGTTTCTATATGATAACCAGAGTTATGTTTGGTAAAAAATGAATTATTAAAAATTAATCATACATATGGCAATATTAAAAGATAGGTTAATAAAAGTCTTGTATGGCTTACAAATGAAAAATTTCTTATGCATGAAATTAGATATCTTAAATTAGAAAAGGCAAAGAGGAAAGTTGTGTGTTTGGTAGACGCACTTAGCTGATCAATGTTTATGTTTAAAGAGTGTTAAGTGTCGCTATGCTTTTTTTTTTTTTAATATTTGCTGCACTATTTATATTTGGGATGTAAACTGATGACAATTTCTGCATTTGCTCCGGATATCTTCAACTGTAAAATTTGTTTCTAATATTTTTTTCCCTTCTCTTCTGGCATGTTTATTTGCAAAGTTTATATGAACTGATAATACAGAAAAATGCTAACTCAGTATTTGAAAAATTGGAATTGGGAATCAATATTGGGAAATATTAAAATATTTAATTTAATCATTCTTTGTTTTGAAGCTGAGGATAACAGCAATTTGTAAAGCAATTTAAAGTGGAATCCTAAGTTTTAAGACTTTTATTTCAGAAAAAAGTTTAGATGTTATTTTTATGTATTTAAATCAGTGCATTTTAAGATTCTAATAATACAATTTAAGTCTAATAATACAAGGATGTTACAATCCTTATTATTATTATTATTTAATTGTATGATTAGCATTCTGCAAACTGTTTTAATGCTATTTTTAAGATATTATGAAATGAATTGAACTTTAAGATATGAGTTTTCTACTTTAGTTGTTAGGTGTTAATAACCAATGTTTCGTATTACGATTGCTTTTAAGAAATTTGATCAAACTGTCTGTATCTATAGTAAGACTGTCTTCATTAGTATCCCAGAATATTCCTAAGATCTTAAGTGTCTCGTTTGAGTCATTGACTTTATGTGGATAGATTTCAAACACTTCTTTCCATCTTTCTATCAGCTCAGGATCATTAGATACCCATTTATGCAAGTTCCTATTTGCTTCACTCATAATTTGTTTAGCTTCCCGCGATTAGCTTAGAGCCTCCTCTGTGCTGTCTTGTCCTGTAATAGAGTCATCAATATAAATGCAAGACTTCAGTGTTTCAAGTGCATCCAGCTGCTCATCTCGATAGTTTTGTATGTGCTCTTTAATTGCTGCAGCCAACAAGAATGGACTTGACTTAATTACAACATTTACACGCTTGAATCTATATGCTGCTAAGTTTAGATAATTTAATTGTGTGTTTTCCACAAATAGGACTCGCACAGCATCTTGATCCTTTTCTTCAAAAGCAATCTGCAAAATTGCTTTTTCCACATCTGCTGAAATTGCAGCTTTATTTAATTGGAAATTAATTATCAAATGGAATATGTTAGGATTCAAATTTCTTCCTGTCCATAAACAATCATTCTGTGATAACTGCCTCAACTCATGTGAGCTGCCATCAAAGACTAAGTCAAAGTCATTAAGTATTTCCACCAATTCAGTGGTACAGGAACAAAAAAATCTGATGTGTACACCACGACTTCTTTGTACAGAATATTAAATTATACGCATTTTTTCTTGCATTTTATTTAAACTTATTAAATTGAATTAAACCTACTTCGCTGACAGCGCATAAACCACAATCGAATAAATGCATTCTTTAAAATTCACTTTGTTTACCATAGCGACACTCTAGCGCTAGGATTACTTAACAGTATTATATTTCATTCATATTATAACTCAGAATGCACAAAATGTATATCATTTAAAGAATTATCTAATCGTTGCCACATGTTCTATTCAAATACTATAATAAAGCTAGAACTGTGTATAAAAGAAATTAAGCAAATAAAACAAAAAAGAAACAGTTTTTCACAGACGATTGAGTATTTCTCATTTAATTAATCCAGTTCTTACTTCGCGAGAAGGCAAAAATACATAAAAACTCAAATATCTATATTAAAAATTACCAAGTAAATCTCAAACGCTTATTTCCTCGAAAAAATTCCAGAAAGAATTAAGCATGATTTAATTGGCAATAATAAATGAATGCGTTATCTTTGTTGTTGCGAAGCTAAGTTTCTCTAGATTGGCAAC